GGAGAACGAAATCATTCTGACGCAACTTATAGTGATTTTTAACGCTCTAAAAAAGAATCTAGTTCGAGGTCTAGTCTAGTTCGAGGAGCCTTGGCAAAAAATGTTGCCCTTTGTTTCTATTTAAAATGAAACTATAACCATGACAAGCTTCCCGGTACAAAATTTTATTTCTACGCATTTCTAATTTCCTCTTTCCAATAAGCAATGGTGTCAAAAACGACACTTACGCTGTAGGAAACAAAAACACTAAGCTGTCAAAAACTTACGATTCTAAGTTTCCTTGTTGAATCCAAAAATGTCAGTTATCTACAGCAGCGTAATAAGTTTAGCATTGCCATCCTCAAAAGCTAACTAAACTGGAAATAGTTTCCGAAAGCGAAAACAAGTCAACTCTTAACAGATTAAATTAGGGGACGTTAAGTGACGTAGTCTAATAGAAATTACAACTTATTGCGATCATTTAATTCTTATTCAGGCAAATTTAAATACATAGAAACATTAGAAACAATTTAAACTTTTTCGATTAGTGGATGAATAAAAGTTTTGACAATTAAACCTCGTAAACTCCTTGACTTAAACACTAAAACATTTTAAAAAAGGTAACTTTTAGCTAGAATTCAGTTTTAAGTGTTCCACAAAGTACAATTTACGTTAAAATAATTTTTCGACGAGTATGTTTAAAGTTTTAGGCATTTTAAAATCAAACTATTAAATTACTACTACTAATCATGCTTATTTCCCTTTAAGAAGTAGTTTGCCAACAAAATTGCAGCTGTCAATCCTTAGTGCGGTTCTCGCAGCAAATTTTCCAATTTCAACAGCATATTTTATTTTAAAATTCCCACGGATTAAACTTTTTCGCAATACTTTTAAATGTGTCGCCAACTTCAGTCTTTTGGAAAAAACTTCAGTCTTTTGGAAAAAATTTCATCTTCAAATTTATCGCGAATATATTAAGTTCAACTATTCTAATGTGACTTTTGATTTGAATTTATTACTAACTAGCCGCCTAAGGCGGCCAGCTGTCCGCCACGCAAAAGGTTTTCACAAATAAAGTTTTTTAAAACATAGCAGGAAATCTGAAGATTAGTGGACAATTAAAGTGTTCCTGTCGTGCAATTTTGTCTTCATATCCAGTTCTGTTGCAGATGTGTTATAGCTCTTGAGGATGTTTGAAGATGTAACTTTGCTATGGTAACCTAAGGCCTATGGTAACCTATCCTATAATATAACTATCAGGTGGAGGCTGGTTTTTTTTAAAGGCCTCAGAAATTGTAAAAGCATACAAAAGTTGCTTTCGAAATCATCATTGGCCAATAGCTGAAAATTAAAACGCAGTTCCTATTTTATATATTATATAGCTACAGCACTTAAGAGAAAAAAACTAAAATGCTAAATACATGAAAAGAACACGAAAAACGAATTAATTTTTTATGGTATAAATTTCTATTTCTATATCGCTACAAAAATTATCGTCTTCGCTTAAGAAAAAAAAATAGAGCGTGGAAAGAAGAAGAAAAACTTATTATAACAATTATGAACAGCGACAAATATATCAAGGCGAAATATATCTATTGAAGTATCGAATATGTTGCCACATTTTTAATACAAAAGTTAAACTTTTCTCCTCTTTGATAAATGTAAATTAATGCGAACCTTACAATTTCTTCGTATATTATTGATTTAAGTTGTCGAAAATTAATATTTCAATTGTAAGGTTCGCATTAGCATACATTTATAAGAGTGGAGAAAAGTATGTGCATTTTTTAATAGTTTTTTGAATATGGCTCTCTGAAGACGAAAAAGCATAGATTTTCTTACAAAATGACTGAACAAAATGAAAAAACTAATCCAAATTTTTGAAAAAGAAAAAAAAATACTTCTTCATTATGTCAAAACACAATTATGTGCCGAGTTTCGTGCCTGAACGAGGCTTCTATGGCAATATATTGTGATTACAGACAGACAAACAGACACACAAACAGCCGCGTTTATTATTATGTGTAGAAAAAACTTTCATATAATTTCAAAGCCTTAATTATTTAAAACAGCCTATATTAATGCATTAATTCACACTGATATAATATATCATAAATTCCTTCAATTTAAGGAAATACGCAAAAATCTTAAAACTTTAATGCTATAATAAGTTTATCTAATATTGACTCTTTATAAATTAAAGAATAATTTAAAATTATTCCCTACATGAAAGTTTGAAAAAAAATCTAAAAACCATTAAAAATATATACCACTTTAATAAGGAGGACAAATTAGTTATTGAGAAAACTTATCATTGCGATTCACAGAAGATAAAATAAAAACTAGCAAAACTCACACAGAGTCCAAAATAACTGCTGAAAAAATTTATTTTCCAATTAACAGAATAGAAACTTTAGATCTCTGGATAGTTTACTAAATTAATCTCACTCCTGAAGGATTACAAATCTAGATTCAACGAAAATCAATCAAGCGCTTAATATTTTATATCGCTAACAAATTTAATCAGATAAACACTTAAAGGATGCCGAATGAGGAACCTGCATGCTTTTTTTTTATGTTTTAAAATGAAACATCATGCCATTTTATAAAGATCGACACCAATTTCAGACCGGTGCGATAACTAGTTATTTTGTTATTAATAGTTGAAATCGCTCAATTAGCCCCGCCCCCTAAATCGCTGCTAGGTTTCCCATGTGCTCTGATGACGTCACGATACAGTACAACCACAACTCCCATCATGTGAAACGGTGAAAGCATATGCCGCTCCGAGTATAAATTTTAAAAATTGGCTCCAAGCAAAAACTACAAGTGTTGCATTGTACCATGTGCAATAGTTCTATATTAAACACGCAAAATAAATAATTTTTTAGTGTACCAAAAGAAGAAAAAAGACAAATTTGGTGCAAAGCCATCAAACGCGATGAAAAAAATACTCGCAAATTGTCTGCAACTACTGCATTATACTGTTGCTAAGACCATTTTACAGTAACTTACTTAATTATAATTTAATTCTATAAGATTGTTTCTCTGATTGATATGCTTCTCTGAATGAATAATTCATTATACTGAATTTTAAAATGTTTTTGAAATGCTATTCAGATCACTTTCTTTCTTTCTTTCTTTTTTTTTCTTCTTTATTCTTTAAAATGAAAGAATTTTATTCTGACAGAACAGTTGTGTACAGGTTCCTTTTTTTTTTAAAGTTAAAAAATAATTTTATTTGGAAGAAAAAATTATCAAAGTTAAAATAAAAAATGATAGGTGTTTAGCATTATTTACATTTCTTCAAAAAAAATTTAATCAAATATTTTAGAAGTTAATAATAAAAAAGAATTTTTTAAAACATTTTATTTACCTAAAAACTTATAATTCCAGGTCATATACCATTCATTCCATTCCCTCTAATTGGGATCAACTTATTAAATAAAAAACTTTCAAAACAGTTCAGACTCTTATGTATAGACAAATATAAATAAAAATGAATCAGTATAAATAAAGAAAAATGAATTTATTTCAAAAGTTGTTTAAAAAATGTAGTTTCGATATTTATTTTTTCATTCCTCAATTTTATTTCATTATGCTGAAAGGTGCTCACGAAATTTTCTCAAGGAGGAGGATGCAACTGATATACACTACATATATATTTAAACTATATATAAATAATATAAGCATGAAAGAAAAACAATTTTTAAAAAATGCGGTTCAAATTAAAACGCCTTTGTAACACATTTTTAGATAGGAAGCTTTGGTTTAACTCCTCCCGTTCGCTGAGATACTGTATCCTGACGTCATAGCAAACCACGCCTCATTTTGTGTCACGTGACTTTAGTTTCGTTTTGCGCTAATTTTAAGTTACGTTTTTTTTAATATTCGGGTCAGTTTTTAAAATTCTGAATTGATTTTAGGGAGTTTTAAGATATAAACTATTCAAAATAATCAACATTCTGCGATTACCCGAAGCATGCAGGTTCCTCATTGGTCTTCAGTAAGAATTTTGTGACTTATGCTATCTACCAAAAGACATTCTTCGTGTACATTAGCGTAGCAATACCGTAACGGAGTTATAATCGATGCCAAGTTAACAGAATACTATGGCACTTTAAGTGAAATTAGGAAAAAAACTCCCTATCATTGGTAATGATGGCGTAAATAATAAACTTTCAAAGTACACTTAAAAATATTTTTTTGCAAATAAGGTAAGGTGTATAATGAAGACAATGATAAATACATCACCTGGTCTTACTTCAAACAAGCGTATAGAGAGATCTCAAAGCTATCGAAACTTTTACTATTATGTATAGTGCCTTGTAGCTAATTGCTTATTTATTGATGTAGCAGTAGTACACTAACCATGTTATTCAACTCTGGCAATCGCTTAATTAACGGAAAATCGGCTTCCAAGGTATACTATTTCCTTGTAAATGGGTTAATTCTTTAATAATTTAATAATCTCCGTTTTAATCTCATATACTCCTAATTGACTTCTCTGGACGTAGGTACTTTATTTACGTCGCACTAGAGCTGTACAACGGGCGATTTGCGACGGTCTTGAAAACATCCCTGAGGTTGATCCGAAAGCATACCATCGCAATTTCGATCCTATGCAGAGGGGATGGCCCCCCTCCTTTGAAGGCGCCCGATCAGAGCGAAGTCTAGCACTTTACGGTAGAACAGTTTAACGAGGACCGATACCGCACACCCTTGGTCCCTACGCAGGCTGATCAAAGTGGTCACACAGACGCTTACTGACCGCAGCCGGTGATGCTTGACTTCGGTGTTCAACTGGGAACCATGTCTTTACGATCAGTTCACTGCGGAGCTGGGTTCACTGGAGTTGCCTGCTTCATTTAGATAAGCTGTTAATGCTTGCAGAAGTTGAGTAACTGGAATGTCGAAGAGTATAAGCTAAGAAAAAAAACAGTGACAGAAGCTGCAACAAAGAAAGTCACTGGCTAGGACCCCTAAGTCTTTTATATATAGCTTATATTGCATGTAGTTTCTATACAGTATATGGGTCTATAATATGTGGCCACAGTACAGGCGTTGAAAACAATCTTAGTGTTTACAAGATGCGTAAATTAAACATCAAACATTACAGTAATAGTAATTGGACGAAAACATCAATCTTGTGAACTAATCTCCAATCATAGTAATGGTAGATCGGTGTTTTTCTGAAATACTTCGGTCTCAAGTTGTGACAGAGAAGGTAGCAGGTTCGTTCCCTGGAGTCTTCGGGGATACTCAAGAGGGTCTTAGAATCTACAAACAAATATAGCAAAGGTGCTTAAATGAAGATGGACTGATAACTAATGATATAACTAAATCAATGACTGAACTAATATAATTTGTTTTTTCAATAATACATGCACAACATTTTAAGACAGAATACTATTGTTAAGGTAGTGTGGTATTTTATTTACGTCGCACTAGAGCTGTGCAAAATGGCTGTTAGTGTTGGTCTGGGAAACATCCCTGAGGATGTTCCGAAGACCTGTCATCGCAATTTTGATCCTCTTCAAAGGGGGAGGCTCTTCTGCTTTGACAGCCCGACGACTTGAGTGAAGTCGAGCACTTAACGGTAGAACAGTTTAAAGAGGACTGATACCACGCACCCTCGGTCCCTACACAGACTGGTCAAAGTGGTCACACAGACGCTTACTGACCACAGCCAGTGATGCTTGACTTCGGTGTTCTACTGGGGGCTGTGACTTCGTGATCAGTTCATTACGGGACAACACAATGTTACAATGTTATTGTGTTACAAAAAATGTTACTGTTAAATAATACTTCAATGACTTTGGTACTGAAATCCACAACATTTGGAATTTTAGTTGCTATAAGAGCTTGTTTCTCACAGATGCAAACATGGCCTCAGATTTATTATTGTTGAGATAACAAGGCAGAGTTTTTCGTATTTTATCATCCTATGTAAAGCACATAATTGAAAGAAGGGGGTGAGATTTGTTTTAAAGTGTAAGTTAAGGTGATTGAGAGATTGAGATCTCGCAATGATATTTAGTTGTTGTTGTTGTTGTTAATTTACGTCGCACTAGAGCTGCACAATGGGCTATTGGTGACGGTCTGGGAAACATCCCGGAGGATGATCCGAAGACATGCCATCACAATTTTGATCCTCTGCGGAGGGGAGGGCACCCCCGCTTCGGTAGCCCGACGACCTGCGCGCGAAGTCGAGCACTTTACGGTAGCACAGTTTAACGAGGACCAATACCGCACACCCTCGGTCCCTACGCAGACGGATCCAAGTGGTCACCCACCCGCACACTGACCGTAGCCAGTGATGCTTGACTTCGGTGATCTGCTGGGAACCGTGTCTTAATGATCAGTCCACTGCGGGACCAATGCTATTTAGTAGTGGATTGTTCAATTAAAAGCTTGTACGCGGTTTCTCTGCAAGCACTGATATTTTTCAGTGAATTCAGGCTTCAACCTATTATAATAATTAATCCCATAGGTTTCAATTCAAAAAGCACCAAAAAATTCACCCCCTTTGAAACCATAAAATTACAAGCACGTAACTGGCCAACGAGACTCTTGACAAAGGCTAAAACTACATGTAAAAGACAAAGATCCCGGAATTATACGTCACAGATTCGTCTTCCAAAATGATGAAATAAAATCAGGATTTGGAAGCAATGACATAAAAGCATCTAATTGTAGAACTGAACCATGTAAAAAAAAAAAAAAGAACTCTTTGTGAATCAACAGAAGTTCTAATAATTGACTCAAAAATTACCTTTCTTTTGAAAATACATTCTTACACAGTTGAGTATCAACAGATGCTTATCAGATTGAGGGAAAAAAGTGAACACTTTTAATCTAATAATTAGATTTTCAGAAATTGGGTCTCATTTATATATTAGAAGACATGATTTGGAAACGTTTCTAACATAACAAATAAAAAATAACAACTATATTATAATTTCCAATTTAAATCAACGATCACTATTATCTAACAATCATATCAAATAAGTGAAGACAAGATTAAACTCTTCATCATAAAATCAAATGACAAGAAGACCTTCGGCATCTAAGGTTTTATGTTTAAGTTTTGCGTTTTCATGTTTTCACACTCGCCTTTTTCTATGATGATTCATTAGATTTTGGTAGTATTTTTCCCCTCAATTAAATTTATCTTTGCAATTCTAAAGTGTAAAAAAAAAATTTTTTTTTTTTTGATTTTTGAGAAAGACTTAAAATTGCTAAAAGAGGAGATTTCAAAAACGTTCTAAGACAAAATATAACAGTGGTAAAAACATGATTCTCAATCCATGCGAAAGTAATTTATGGGGTATCATCCATGTGTTTGAAAAGACTAATTTATTCCATTTAGTGATATTAAAATTAGGATCTTTCTAATCGTTACTTATGAGGAAGCACTCTCAATTTCCTAATTATTAGTATTTGCATTCGAAGAACTCAATTACCATTGCAAAAGCTAACAACCATAAAATAATTTCCAATTTAAACCTAGGATCATTATTATCTTGCAAGTTAATGATCATAGAAAATATCTCAAGGCGAGATTAAGGACTTCATCTCGACAAATTACTTCTTCAAAGCAATTATGACAATGATTCTAATTTAAATTCGAGAACATCAAAGAACAATGATAAAAATTGCAAGGTAATTCTGAATTGTTATATCTAATTAATGTAGAAATTGTTTAAGACACTATAATATAATCTCGCTGTTTTTAAAAACAGTTATGCATCGATAACAAGATGAAGTTTGAAAAAAAATCGTCTGCTGCTTTGATGACAGAGTTATTTGTTTATAATAAACACCATATATATATTTGAAACAAGAAACATTGCATTTAAGGTTAGTGCTTTAATATTTTACTTTTACACCATGAATTTGTGTAGAAATATAAAAATTTAAAAGCGAATCTAATTATTTTATATTCAAATTTAGTTGTATTTTTCAAAATTAGTATTTCTGACATTATGATAAATTCTACTATAAGCAAGTAAGAGAAAAAAAATTACAGATAATTTATTTAAAATCATTAATTATAAGCAACGACGCTAATCAGTATTTGCTCTTCTATTAGCTTAAAAAGATTAAATGTGCCTATCATTCTTATAAATATGTATTTCCTTCAACATAGAAATAAATTTAAGATAATAAAGAAAAAAAAGATAAATTACAATATTTAAACTAAATCGTAATTTACCTTAGGTGCTGAGACTTAAGTACTTCATCTTCATTACAAATTGAAACCCTTAAACAAAAAACACTCAATTAAGGAAATTAAAACAAACAAATAACCACACGACTATTCAGTTAATAAAATGAAAACAAATAGATCACGAAACAACTTCAAAGAATTTTTTAAATTAAATCAAAAATAATAAAGAAAATGATAAACTCACCGTCTGACTAGCAATTAAGCTTTTTACTGCAGCAGGACGCTGCGTCCATATGGTTGGAGTATGCTTCCATTTTGTCACGATTTGAAGAAAAAAGCGTTGGTTTTTTTCATGCTCTGGCATTAGAGTGAGAATTATGGCTCTGTATGGTTCAAAAAAAGATTTTGAGTGAATTCTTTTGCTCAACAGTCAAGTTTTCAAGCTATTCAGTTCAATAGTTTTGACATGAAGTCATCATTCAAGCTTATTCATTTTACTAGCTCGATTGTATTAAATTTAAAAATTAGGTCTTAATTCACCAAGGGATGAATCTCTCTCTCTAATATTGTATAAGGTNGTTATTCTATCAAGAATAGGTACTACATCATGGAGTCTTGAAATTCCATAGCAGACATTCATAATGTAAACACTGACAAGTGTTACATTATTGTGATTTTTCTTTAAGAAGTAGACATACTATATATATATATATATATATATATATATCTTACTTATTTACAACGGAAACTATTGAAATTTCTGTTGTCAACAGGTATAGAACTCCAGTTGAAATTTCGCAATTTCAAATAGCCGCAATTCTAATGAACGTTAATTTCTATTTGGCGATAATAAGACGATAAATCCTGCTTGTTACTGTCAAAAAATAGGGAGAAAAGGGGAAGTTACAACTTTAATTCAGGTTGCAGAAATGAATTAGAAAGTTAAAAAATTGGTCGGAATTTTAACTGACGATAAATTTTAATTCTCCACTATATGACAATAAATTCTGCTTTTAGAAATAAGAAAACAATTGAAGCTTATAATATCATCCAACACAGAGGTTCGACTACAATTGTAGAGTTCTAGCTAATATTAAAGTGGTCATAGTCTTAGTATGTGGATAAATTCCTTTGGGCGATAATATCGAGAAAAATTCTTTAAATAGCGGTCAAAAAACAATGCGAACTTGCATAGCCATCCAAATCAGAGCTCAAGTTGGATTTTAAGTTCTCAAGCTGGACTTAAATGGTCGGAATTTTGCTTGACGATAAACTCAATTTTGCGATAAAATGACGAGAAATGCTGCTTGCTGCATTCATCACAGAACGATTTAGACTTGTATTGTCTTTGGGCATTGGGGCATTCTAGCTAGTCGGAGTGATTTGAAATTTAGATAGCAAGATTTCATCACTACAGGCACAAAACCAAGTAAATAAAAACCTTATAAAAATTCGCTGCCGTATTTAGGTACCTTGAGTGTCACATTTAAGGGCTGGTTACCTTAAATGCTAAAATAAAATGCCCTATTTGAGACAGCGAAATATCTTTGATTAAGTTACAGATACAATTAAGTTGCAGATTCAATTTCAACAAGAAAAATTAGTTAAAACTGAAGTCCTGCTAGCAATGCTTGTAAAGGATAAGTTTGAAACAGAAAAATTGTATCAAAATCCGACAAATCATCAGTGAGGAAGGCGAGATTATAAGCACCAAAACCTTTTTAATTGACATGAAAATTTCGAGGCGTTTAAGGATGACTTGATTTTCTTTTATTAATAAATAATTGGACTCCCGGGCAAGAGTGGTAGCGCTTTGTGCTCCCGTGCCACTGGTCCTGGGTTCGACCCTCGGACCGGTCAAGGTAGACTCAGCCTTTCATCCCTTCAATGGGTCGATAAATGAGTGCCAAGCATGCTTGAGAGCACTGGAAGTTCAGCGTTCGGCTGACCACCTAACCGGAACATCTGCTCTTGCACCCCAGAGCCCAAGGTCAAGAAAACTGAGATGAGCACAGTAGGCATCGTCGCGTCACTGAGTTTAGTATTTTTTTAATGAATAATTGAATAATATTTAAGTTCAATACTTTGAATTGAATAAAAAACTAGAAACGTCATTTCTCGAAAAATAGTAAATTTTGTATTCTGAAATCAAAAAAGTTCTAATTTTTTAAAATATCTTACGAAAAATGTGAGAATTCTTTTTTGTATATTTTTAAATAACACAAAAAGTTTAAAAAGACCAAATGTATTTTTGATAAATTTCAACAATGTGTTACAAGTGCACATTTATAAATTGCTATTATTTTAAACACAAATAAAAACTATATACATATTATGAGAGGAAAATTTGTATTTTAGCGAAGAAAAAATTTTATATCCATGTCAGACAAATCGTCAATGAAGAAGTCGAGATTCTAGACACCAAAAGCTGTTTTATTAGAGTAGAAGATAGAGGAATTTAAGGATGATTATTGACTTTTCTATACTTAAAATGGTTCAGAGATAATTGATGATAAATAATTGAATGATATTGAAGCTTGGTGCTTTAAATTATATCTAAAACTAGAAACATTATTTTTTGAAAAGCAACAAATTTTATATTTTAAAATCAAAATCAGTTTTAATTTTTTTTAAAGTCTTATGGAAAATTTTGCATGATTTTTTTTTTATACTTTCGATACAATAGCACAAAAAGTTTAAACGACCAAATGTACTTTTAATAAATTTCAAAAATGTGTTCCCAGAGACAGTTATAAATTCCTAATATTTTAAACATCAGATAAAAACTATGCATATTATGAGATAAAAATTTGTATTTTAGAGCAGAAAAAAATATCATATCAAAGTCATATTATGAATCATCAATAAAAAAGACCATATTGTAAATTAAAAAACCAATTTGATTGAGGAAGAAATTGAGAGGAGGTGATAGATGACTATTAAAATCATCTTTAAATTTTAACAGCCAATCAAACGAGTTATGATGTTTGGTCCTCCCCTGTAACGATTAGATAGTTTTAGATTTCATGTTTTTTTATGACTTAATTATTACTTTGCAACCTTTAATGTGCTTGCGTTTTTTAATTCATTTTTGTTAAAGATACTCAAAATAATTTATAATGCACGATGATGGCAAGATACTACGTATAAACTAGCAAAGAAATCCAGTGTGGAGGAGTGACTGAAAGTAAACAATGACAAGCTTCCTAAAATCATAAGAAATATAGCAAACTTCCGCTCCGCTTTTTCCAGATTTACCGATGAATGAAGAAATTTGATAACTAGCCTCAAGAATACGATTATAAGTTGAAGTGTTAGCAGTAAATAGAGATTTTACTGTTGCCCTCTTTTCAAAATTTTTCTTTAAAGTTTGAAAGTAATATAAATCTGAATTAATATGAGCATTATGTTTCGGTTTCATTGATTTGTTGGTCAAGCATTGCTGGCATAAAAGACATATGGTATTGATTTCTATCACTGAATGCTGCGAAACACTACAGAAACACTACAGTTCCCTTCGCTTATGTTGCTACGCTTATATTATTATATTACGTCCGCTTATATTACGTTTACGAAACCATTTGTGACCGCACACCCTCGGTCCCTACGCAGACTGATCCAAGCGGTCACCCACCGGCACACTGACCGCAGTCAGTGATGCTGGACTTCGGTGATCTGCTGAGAACCGTGTCTGAACGATAAATCTATTGTTTCGAATGTTATCCCCTATAAGGCTATGTTTGTGTAAAATATCGCCGTTTGTCATTTTTTGGACAGCATGCTTATGAAGTTGTCCAAATTCGTTTTCTGCTAAAATTAAAAGGATTGAGTTTAAGTTAAAATGAAAGAACGCTTTTTATTGTAAACACTACAAGTGTATTTATATTGGCTGGCATGTTCGTTTTTCAACAAAAAAAAATTATGTGAAAAAATAAATCGGTGGTTGTTATTACCCGAAAGTTTTACGCCGAATTTCGACCCCTTGTGCCACGTGTACTTCGTTTTACACAGGAAACCATATATAAACTTGACAAAGAAAATAAACGAATAAACGTAGTTTTCCATGAACTGTATAAAAATATACAAAGGGTAACTTCATATTTTACCCACATTTAGGAAGTATATATATATATCCAAACCTTATTAATAAATAAAAACACTAAAAACACAATGAAACACTATATTAATTTTGTGTTTCTCTAGACACTTACCTTATTTCACAATAAATATATCTTAGAAAAGATGAAATTGCGTCGTAAATAATATTTTTCTTATGTTTTGATTAAATCCTGCACACATCTCTTTATAATGTATAGATAATATTTGATGGCGTTCTTGTTCTTCGAAAAATGATTTTCTAGAATAAGTGATTCTTATGGTTTCCCTTTGGGAAATGTTTACTGTACAATAATAATAATATCACTTTCATAGAAAAAAAATAATTTTTGAAAATTCTTACCGAAAGTGTTTTGTTGAACAGCCTTTTTTATTTCTGTTTTCAGCAAGAAGTAGAATATAATATAATTTATGCTTCTGAACTCGTATATTATTGAATTGGTATTGAAAATGATAAAAATTGTTATCACCAATATAACCAAATACCGAATTAATAGCTCCTCGAAAGGAAATTGTATTTCTGAACTATAAATATGTGATTAAATTAGTATTAAATATGTTTAATAATCATTTTCCTCTAAATGACTTATTCCTAAATGAAGAACTCTAAGAAAAAATTTAATTTTTTGTTCTTGAACTATGAAAATGTGATTGGTATTAAAGTTGGCCGAAAATTATTCTCATTTAATTACCTTTTCCCATATCAATAAATCTTTAAAAAATAATTTATGTTTCTGAACTATAAGTATATTATTAAATTGGTTTAAAATTATTAAAAATTGTTTCCCTAAAATATCCTATTTCATAAATTTTACTTTATTTTATAACCATCGTTGAACAGCCGACCCAATTTTTAGTTTACGGTAACCAATGTTCAACTCCGTAGTCTTGTAATGTTGAACCAAATCCGGAAGACAAGGGAACTCCTGGATCAAGAATAAGGAGAAACTTACCTTCATGGACTTTTTGATTAAACCAACCCGCATTTGCGTTACATGAAGAGAAAAACTACGAAAACTTCTAACGGTTAGTCTGGCTGCCAGAGGACTCTCACCCATGATCCGTCTAACACTGAGGATATTTTACGTCAGTATTATGGTTGGTGGATTCGTATCAACCAGCCATCACTGGGGAAGCGAGCGCTCTGCTTTAAAGAAATTTTGAAGTATTTTTGAGGTTTATTTAAGATTGTTTTGCGGTGCTAAGGCTGATTTGAGGTTTATTTAAAGTTGATTTCAAAAGCAACCATTAAAAATAATATTTGTATAGTCAAGATGTATGAAGCTGTTTTATTTACACTTGAGGTTGTTTTGAGGTTAATGGAAATCCACTTTTGATCAACCAGCTTAGGGAGTTTGTTTTTGAGGTGTACGGATTATTTTTTTCTACACTTCCAGCAAGTACGTATATTTGAGGTGTGAATAATCA